CAAAATATTTTAACAGCCAATATGGTTGTGAAGTGTTTTTTTATCATTGATTCTTATTTTCAGCTCTATTATTTATTGCCTTTTGTGGCAGTGTGCGCGAAACGGGGCTGCACACTAAATGGCGAGGGACAATTTTTGTACGCAGGCTGGATGTGTCTTTGAGCACATCTAAACCAAATGCAAATTTGCATCCAAATCACATACAAAATATAGCATTTGTACCTAGCCTAGGTACACTTTGTACCTCTGTACAGACAAATTTGTATCTGATGAAGATGTGCTCAAAGACACATCTAACTAAGGTACAAAAATTGTCCCTCCCCATTTAGAGTGCGGACCTCCAACTTAGCGCGCTATCCTCTCGGGCCGCGCCGACCTGAATCCCTCAGCCGGGCCGCTTCCCGTCATCACTCGCACAGCCCGATGTGGCAGGGGCTTTGGCCGGGGTACCCTGGGTTGAAGTCGTTCCTCCTGGCTGCCCCTCCCCCCGCCCCTTCCCCGGAGCCGCCCCACCTCAGCTCGACATAGCGGTCCGCTCCCGCCCCGCGTCGCCCCGTCCCGCCCCGCCAGCGCTACCTTCTTGTCGGGGGCCTCGAGGGACCCGCGCCGCCCCGCCCGCCCGCGCCCTGCTCAAAGATGTACCTTTCAGCGCCAGATAAACACGCCTTTGTGGAAAACTATTAACAGCAGACATTCCTGCAGTAAATGAGGCAGACAAGCTCTCCTGCCGTTGCCCCCGTCCCGCGGCTCCAACTCAACGCCTCTCCGTGTAGGGATAAACACAGTTCCCGTTTCGGGGTCCTCGCACCTCCTTTCTGCAGCGAACTGCAAACACGGTCCTCACGACGTCGTCTTTTTCTATGTTAAAGGATTTAAAATTACAGGACGTGGTTTGCACTTACCCTTTCCACCACACTGTCGGGAACATGCTGAATAAGTTGGGCAGCTGTCCTGAAAAAGTACGGTCCAAAAATCAGCTCTAGAGTCGTCGTCGGAGAGAATTGGGCCAAGCAGGCGCGCAAAGACGTCCAGGACGCTGATAGGTCGAGGTCTTACCAGCGATGCCGAAGGGTGACTCGTCCTCGTCGCTGTGATCATCGTCGCCGTCGTCCTCCGACGAGGTCTCGGGCACCATAAAGGTGGGTATGAGGCCGGTGCTGAACGGCGGCCCCTCTTCGTCGTCCTCGTCGTCCTCGGCGGCCTTCTCGTCCTTGGCGGGGGTCTCTTTCTGGGGCCGGCCCCCGACGTGCATGGCCTCGCGCAGGATGTGCTCCAGGCGGGTGGCCTGGCCCAGGGCGGCCTGCTCAAGCCCTCGGAATCTGGAATAACAATAATGATCATCATCATGACCTTTTCTCAAGTCATGACCCAGTAAGTGCGGCGTGGGCGTCCTGCGATGAGCGCACTAGCCGGGCTGCTCGCCGGCCGTCCTGCCGCAGTTTGAATTCCGCGGGACGCGCGGCGCGCTGCGCGGTGGTGGTGGCGCGCAGGCGCGAGCTCCTCGGACCGCGCAACTAACGACACAACACGAGAGGCCACTACGCCATCCCGCCTCGGTAGCGCAGTAGGCAGCGCGTCAGTCTCATAATCTGAAGGTCGTGAGTTCGATCCTCACCCGGGGCACACCTTTTGCCGGGGGGTGCTCGACAATTGTATGCCGCTGGTAAGTTCTTCTCGCGAGGACAAGTGAGGGAACTGTGCCCTTACAATGGTTCATTGTTTTGGACCGAGCTTTCTCTTCCGGCAGGTTGAAGTCAGGATGGGGAAATAATGCTTTCCCATCAGTGGGAATTGAATTTCTAAATAGTAGATGAACCTGTACCCACATACCGTCCTATGCCTACTCTTAGACCAACTAAGCGTCTATGCTAGAAATTCTTGTCGTTAGTGATATGGAGAGTGAGTGCGATGTGCCGGTGCAGCACAACACACCCATGCAGGGCAAGGGCGTGGACTCACCCGTGTTCGAACTGCTTCCAGAAGCCCTGGCCGTTGAGCTCGGTGAGGCCCGGCTCGCTGGCCAGCACGGCCGTGACCAGCACGACAAAGCACGCGACGCGGAGCATGGCGTGTCGGTGCGAGCCTCGTGATCCTCGGTGTGTCTCCCTCGGCGTCCCCAACATGAATGCTCTCCCCACCGCACAGAGCCGCGGACCTGGGCCGGGGACCGCTCCGCTCAGCTGTTGTTGCTGCTGCTGTTGTTGTAGTGGGGCCTACCGGGGCCCCAGGCCCAGCCCACCTTACCGGGCCATGCCGCACCGGGCCGCCCGTCTGTCCGTCTGTTGACGGCGAGGCTCGCGGTCCGCGCAGGCAGCGCAGGGAAGGGCGGCGGGGGCGGGGCGAGGAG